GATCAGTGACATAAAAAATAGAATAATAAATAAAAATACATATTTTTCGTGTCTGGGCGTCACGTACCGATTATGTAGAAGATCCGTTACAGTTGGCAACTAAGAAATTATATCGGTTTTAAGGAACAAAATGTTTTATAATGTGAAGTAGTGATGAAATTTGAAAGTTAAAACTACTTAAGTTCGAAGTTCAGCAATCCAATCTAGATAAATTGAAATTTAAAAAGGCTATTGAGATTCAACTGATAGTTCTGTGACAGCTAGTAAACTGATCCAATAATTGAACACGGACCGAGTTGCTCTATCAGGTCGGCATGACAGAGCAAATGTGAGATGGGAGAATAGTGTTTAACATTTGGGGGCCCACCTCATGTGAGAGCAACTGCTCTACTGAGCTTTTTACCGGCATGGTAGAGCATCATTATTCAATTGAACACTGCTAATTTTGTCCAAAACATTATTTAAAAATACATTCTTTCAAAACTCATTTTCAATCACACATTTTTTAAAATAATAATATTTTTCATCACATCAATAACTTTTCATTACTTTTTAACCACATATTTTTCATCATATCATTATTTAAAATACATTATTTCCTCAATAATATCCATCAAACTCGCCTTCCAAATACAACCCAAAATATCTACCTTCTCTAGTTTGGCTTTTCTGCCAATTTATAGCTCAGCTCTACCAGAAATCTGAAATTGCCCATTCTACTGGGCACGAGAAACACGTTTATAAACTCCAATCTCGGAAGATACACGCACCCACACGCATATATATATACAATCAAAATTATTGCTTTCTTCAACACACAAACACCAATCATGATGGCAAGAATGATGGGTTCGCCCTCTGTAACTCCGTTGTCGCCGCCACCGCAGCCATCTCCGTCGTCTCTGGGGGATGCACGGCAAGGGCCTCCGAACGGGTGGCCCGTGGTCGGTCCAATTCTCGACCGATTGAATTATTTTTGGTTTCAGGGTCCTCCAACTTTCTTCAAGAAGAGAATGGAAAAGCACAAGAGTACAGTTTTCAGGACAAATGTGCCTCCAACATTCCCTTGGTTTTTGGGTGTTAATCCTAATGTAATTGCAGTTCTTGATGTCAAGTCTTTTTCTCATCTCTTTGATATGGAGATTGTTGAAAAGGCAAACGTACTCGTCGGAGATTTCATGCCCAGTGTTAAATATACAGGGGATTTGCGTGTTTGTGCATATCTCGACACTTCAGAGGCTAAACATACTCAAGTACGTTTATTTTTTCTCTCCTTAATTGGCATATAATTCTTCTCCTAAGAGTGCTCGCGATCAATAATCTTAGGGTTCGTTTGATTGCAAGAGTGAGTGAAACTTGGGTGAAAAGAAAATGAAGGGGAATTGAATTGTCAATAAATTGATAAATTTTTTTACTGTCTAGAATTTTTCTCAAATACCCAAAAAAAGAAAGATGGAAAATGAAAACCCACTTGAAAGGTGGAAAAATAATTTCAACAAAAAAGTGGAAAATGTGCACGTGAGAGAGTGAGAAATATTTTTTTCCTATCAAACACTATAAAAGTTGAAAAATGGATGAACAATGTTATGTATCAAACGGGGTCTTATAGAATTCAAAAACGTTGAGATGCTTGTGGAGAAAGAGAAATTGAAAAAGAAAAAAGATTTGGGATATTCGGCCCTTATTTGTTTAGGTTAAAAATCAGTTTTTTTTATAAATTTTAATAAATATTGATGAGATTTGTCGTAAAAAAAAAATTGATAAAATTTGTGATTGAAAATAAGTTTTTTTAAAAAAATAAATTTTAAAAATTTAGTCAATTGTTGGCTTAATGTTTTTAGGACCAAACACGGCCTTGTGGAGCCCCTTTCGTTTGGTGTTGGGTTGATATTATCTCAAAATCCATACTTTTATCACGTAATTTCATTGACCAATCAATTAAAAGTACTCTGGATTCCCCAATATTTTATTATTTAGTCCACTCAACATAAAATTTGTCACAACGTGATCGCACCTTCCACGTATGTTAGTCCGATTGAAGAAAAAAGACGGCGTATTTTTTATTTAAATTTATTCATTTATATCTAATTTTTATATGATATTCACGTGTATTTTATATTTTATCGTTAGAGTACTAGCTAGCTTGGGTGTGACATCCCTCATAGGATAAATGGATACCAACACGATATTTCCCTAGTCCTTAAATGTATTATCACAACCTAATGTAGGCGATGGTCGTGGAGGAGACCCTGCAAAAGTTTGGAATTATTGAAAAACCAAAAACACGTGATTTTCCATCCGACATCTTGGTCCGTATTTCAATTTTTTTTTTGTTTGGACGGATGGACTTGATTAGACTCGTCAAAAATTTTGGACCACGTTGAGTCCCTATTTTTGTACAAAGACATAATAAATGAAATGAGATATTTTAGTCAAAATTAATAATAATTGTGTGTTTTATAATCTGTTCGACAGGACTTTTGTTCTTTATGTTCTAATCTTCTGAATTGGTTTAGTTTTTATTCACGTTGTATGTTCATTCCTAAGTTCGTATTTAATTTTTATTTCGATAGAATGTATATTCTATCCCAGTTTGATTAATAGTACATTTAGATGAAGGTGTTCAAATGTTTGATCGAATGTTACAGATTAAGAACTTTTCTCTTGATATCTTGAAACGAAGCTCGACCATTTGGGTACCGTCACTTGTAAGTGCACTAGACTCCATGTGGGACAAAATTGACGCAGAGGTTGCCAAATCCGGCTCAGCCAGTACCTTCCTCCCCATGCAGCAATTCCTTTTTAACTTCCTCACTCGCTGCATTGTTGGGGCAGACCCCTCGACCTCGCCTGAGATTGCGAGCTCTGGCCATATTATGCTCGACAAGTGGCTCGGTATTCAGCTCCTGCCGACTATCAACATCGGCATTCTACAACCTCTCGAAGAACTCTTCCTCCATTCTTTCTCATACCCTTTCTGGCTTGTTAAAGGAGACTACAACAAGCTGGTTCAGTTCGTGGTAAAAGAAGGCAAAGAAGTGATACAAAGAGCTCAAACTGAATTCAATCTGACGGAACAAGAAGCAGTTCACAATCTTCTTTTCATCTTAGGATTCAATGCATTTGGTGGGTTTACGATATTCTTTCTGGCGCTCCTGAGCGCGCTCGGGGATCAGAAAAGTACTGGTCTACACGAAAAACTCCGGGATGAGGTAAGACGAAAATCTGGTTCCAATTCAAGTACTCTCAGTTTCGAAAGAGTAAAGGATATGGAATTAGTACAATCATTTGTATACGAAACTCTTCGACTGAATCCGCCAGTTCCATCGCAATTCGCACGAGCTAGAAAGGATTTCAAGCTGACTTCGCACGATGCTGTTTACGAAATCAAGAAAGGAGAGCTTCTTTGTGGGTATCAGCCCTTGGTAATGAAAGATGCCAAAGTATTCGAAGAGAGTCCTGAGGCATTTTTATACGACAGATTTACTAAAGAGAAAGGCGGGACAGAGTTGCTGAATTATCTGTACTGGTCGAACGGGCCACAAACTGGATCGGCCACGGCAGCCAACAAGCAGTGCGCAGCTAAAGAAATTGTGCCTTTAACTGCAGCGTTATTTGTGGCTTATGTGTTTCAGAGATATGATGACATTACAATTTCTTCTGGTTCAATCACTGCAGTTGAGAAGGCTAAGTGAGACAATTAATTACTTGTGATGAAGGATGTAATACTCCTCTTTTAATCTCAATCGTTACTTGCCATCTCTTTGCACACAGTGTTTCAAGTATTTAGGCCGCAGGCATATTTACAAGTATTGTGCACATAATAAATTTTCAATGAAAAAAAATAAGGGATTGTAACATTCTTTACTTTCTATTCTCTCCATTTTATAAAAGATAAATAATATAACATGAGATCAAACACAATGTGAACTGGATTAAATAGAGTAATAACGGGAAACTATGGACTAGCCAACATTTCTACGTGCAATCTGTGTGCGTCTAACCGGTCGGGCCAGGTTGCTTAGATAAGAAAAAGGACGTTGACAAAAAAGGTGCTATAATCTTATGATCAACTGAACTCATCAACCTCTAAAACTATCTTTATATTTATCGAGTAATCCATATATCAAAGCAAAATATCTGTCTAATAAACTTCCAGTTCCTGATGAGCATATGGAAGGTTACTTGTTTGACAATTAACTTCAAACAAATAAATATTTTGGGTAAATGTTGCGATGGCACCTTATAGCACAAAACATGCTTTGTTGGAGAAGAATAAATGACCCTCTATACGAATCTGACTCATATGATCCAATTTCGGATGGTACCATTACTAAGGCCTCGTGCTCCCTTTCGAGCCAAGACAAGAAATCGAGAACTAGTTCCTATGCAGACGCAGCATCCCATGTTAATTTGATAGAGCGCACTGGGAAGTTATATAGCCTGTACATTTGCACGAGACTTGGCAACTCCCTCTTTCCATCCTCTTTGGCGTGCCCTAAGCTCCCATACATCAGTCAGTTTCTTCTGCGCCAATAGAGCAGCTTCAGCTTTTTCCCTTGCCTCCTCGCATGTTTCCATCCCGGAATTGCATTTGTCTGCCTCTTTCTGATACTGGGATGTCATCTTCTTGGCCTCGAGCAGTGCCACATCGGACCGCTGCTGTTTTTCCAATGCTTCGGATTCTCGCAGCTTCAGTTCCTCAGACAATAGCTCTGCAAAGTTCTTCTGTGTGTCTTCACTCACATCTGGATCGTGCTTTGCACAATCTGCAAACATGAGAGAGAGACATTATACATATAACAAAAGAGCCTTAAGCTAATAACATGATGACTTTGTGTGCATCAGATTACCATCAAGGAAAAAAGGTTGGTCTCAGGAGGAAAGATATTATCTCCAGTTTCACATCTAATATTAAGATTCTTCGGGTTTCTTACTGTCTTATGCATTCAGTGGATCCTGATATGATTATGATTGGTGAATAAAGAGAAGCACTCTATGTTAATTTGGGAGAAAATTAATCATCCAAATCTAGTTAAATCAAAGCATGGAAATTTTTATATAAATATATTTCTCACACTAAAATCTAATGAAAGATGTTAAATAGAAGAATTGAAATATTATAATAGAAATATAAGAATGTAAAAGGGTAAATCTAGAAGCTCCATATATACTATTACTATCAACCTAGTTTATTTAGAAAGCAATCCTATTGCAATCACTCTTACTAACACTATGAACATTATCAAATGCCACCAATAACAATGTAACATGATCAACATAGTCAAGAGCACAGGCACAAAAGACACTGCTTAGCATGAATCTGAAACCTATTTCTCAAAAGCAAATGATTCACAAATTTCTGACTTAGCTAGCCAGATAACTTTTCAATTAACTGCTCATTTTAATAATGGGATCAAATGATAATGTTGAAGAGAATTCAAAAACTAGTGGATTGGAGGTCTGTGATATCTGTAACTGATATATTATGAACAGAAATAGAGAAATTAGTCAGAGAAAGAAAGTGACATGGAGAGGGAAAGGCTAAAAGACAAGGGGGATGCAGTGAAGTGGAGGAGAATGGAATGGAAGATTCCTGTGGGCCTAAGAAAAGGGTGACAACTACTAATTTACCCTCCAACTGTGCCACTATATGTATCATTTAGTGTGCTTTCGCAGCAAAACTAAAGCATAATGCCACTGGAGTAGGCGAAGAGAACCATATCCATACATGCATGCAAACACCCAAGCATTGTAACAATCCCAAGGAAGATTTCCTGGTTCAGCACTACACACCTCCTGGGGTCTCACCAGCTCAAAGGATATGCCAACCTCATGATATTTTTAGTCCTAACCCCCTAACATTTACTTGTTTACCACTAAACCTAGGAGCAGAGGCCCAGAAGATCAAGATGTCCTGCTCGCAGAAACCTTCTTCTGGGGTGAGCATTTACAAACCTTTCCAAACAGGGGAAGAGGTGAAAGGGACCAAAAGACCATGAAAGTTGCTATTCCAAGTGTGAGTTGCATAACATTCAATCAATCAGGGAAGATTTTCATTGGCGAGACCTTGAGATATCAAAGTGAGGATGTCGAAAAGTGAGGGTACAGCAAAGAATATTAATGTTGGAAGACCTAAACCAGTCCAGCCAGCTCAAGTAATAACCTGGGAACCAACCCAGAAACCAGTTCAGTTATTGCTAAAAACTGGGTATTGAAAACAGAACAAAATCACCTATCCAGTTCAACAGGGACTGGTTTAACTGGTCATGAATTGACCATATTTTCCAGTTGCACTTTTCTAGAAAATTAATAAGAAAAACCCTTTTCGACCCTAGAATCTTCAAATTCAGTTTTTATATTTTATTGATGAAATTTAACTTTTTCGTACATTTTTAAGGTATGTTATATATTATTTATTTATTATCTTGGGTGCGATCCAGTTGTACATTTTATATGATCATTGGTTCGATCCGGTTGGATTGACCAGATTTTCCAGTTGCACTTTTCTTAAAAAAATTAAATAAATAAATAAATTATGTTCGATCCTAGAACCTTCAAATTTGGTTTTATATTTTATTGATGAAAACTTACCTTTTGTTTGTACATTTTTATGTTATATATATTTATTTATTACCTCGGGTTCAACCCTAGGCTGGTTTCAATCCAGGTTTTTGGCAACTATAGTGGGTTTTACATGTCAAAAATAGTTTTCACGTTATATTATCAATAGCTTAAGAAATTTATGCTTCAGATACTCCTTTATTAATGGCTCAGAATAATTCAGAATCGGCTATTTGACCAATACCTATAAATGATAATACAAGTGACTTCCTATCACAAGCTTCTTTTCATCAGAATAACGATCTAGTAAGGGTGACAAAAGCAAGCATTTATTAAACAGACAGTTCATTGTTAGTTCCACAAAATCAGAACCTACCACAAACAACCGTAACTAAAGCTTGATGTTGGCATCTGAAAGAGAAACATATGCAAGCACAAACCATAATTAAATGTCAGGCAAGAAAGTGGCGTACTAACCTGCAAAGGATATATTACTCAGTCCTGCAACGATAAAAAAAGGTATAATCAGTACAAGAGATTCGTTGACTAGAAGAATGACGAAAGACGACAGAAGGAAGTTAATAGCAATAGTCTTAATTCTAACAACTAATAGCATACACCAAGGAACCTCATCTTGGATATGTTTCATAAGCTCATCCATGACTCTAAGTCTCTAACAAAGAGTAAGGACTTAAGTCAGAATTTGGATGTCATGCAAGCTCTTTAGTAATAGGACATTCTCTACTATTACCATGGCCACATCTCACACTCATGAATACCACACCGTTATCCAAAAAAATTTCTTCTCTCTTTAAAACTCACCGTAACACTTTCATGATTCCCTATTATACACGCTTTTCCAAAACCAGAAAACATAATTGCAGATCTTGTTTATTTCATCTATACTTATCCACTCATCTTTTACGCAGGATTTCCATACTAGATCATCCTAGGATAAAAACAAACTGATTCTCGAAGACCTTCAAATTACAAATTTAATCAATGCTCAAACACTCATGAACACATTCATAATTAGTACAATTATGAATATGTCCTTTACTCGCATAAATTGGCACCTCTCTTTTCCATCCATGTTGCATCTTCTACTCTTCCAAGATATCATTGAACAAGTTTGTGAGCTGTGTTACAAAAGTTTGCATGCAATCCAACTGCTTTTCTCATCTTCATCCTCTTTGTAGCCCGCCTCACTTCTAAGGCACATTTCGATGCGCATATCACACTATTAGCAACAGAATTGTATCTCCATCAAACAGTAGTTCTTTGAGATATATACACACCCAAACTACCCCAATTTTTTTTATATATTTCCATATAATGTCGAAATTGACATGTGGGCATTAAGCACAAACCGTGAAAAAAAAATAAAAAAAAATAAAATATGAGTCTTTATCAAAGTGAAATAAGATTTATTACAAAAATGCCAGCCAGTTGGTCACGGACGAAAATCACAGTTGATCACAGACGAAAATCAAACTGCTCAGTAAGAGATCTAAGCAGATTTAGACATATACATCGCAACACAAACACACATGTATATATAAATATGCATGTTTGTATGTCTTGTACATACCTAGGGGGATGGAAGGAAGAGACTCAGAATCACAGTCACAGATACATGGAGCACAAAAGGAGGAAGAGCGGTTTACAGCAGCTAATCCTTCCACGAAGTGCCAATACAGAGGCGGGCCAATTATGTATCCTGCCAAGCACACTGCCATTATCCCCAGCCCTAACTTCAAAACCCTAGGATTCACTGCCATTTCTTGACTAATTGCCTCTCCTGAATCCTTGTCTCCGTTTTGCAACAATTATAATTTATCTATACGTAAATTTTCGAATTTACGCGTCAATTGAGACTTGTAAACAGAGGAATGAGAAGAAAATCAGATCGGAGTATGAAAAGGTGTGATCATATTCTAAGGTCAATTTCAGTAGGGGCCCAAATCTTTTGCAAGTGTGGCGCCAATGTCCTCAACCTATTATTTATTGCACTCATATCTTCAACTTTTTTAAAATTGTAACAGTCATGTCCTTAACTAACTACAATACGTTAATATGACCTTCCATATTAGAAGGATCAATCTTGACAAGAGGAGTAGCTCGAACTTGA